AAAAGAAGAAAAAAGAAAAGAAAGAAATAATAATAATCTCGTGGTTCATCTGGGTGTGCTTTAAATGAGTTTCTGACTGGACTTATAGATCTCATACGCTGTCGAAAGTCGGAAACCATTCGTGGTCAGAGGAGGCGGACATAGCAACGGCTTTTCAACGATCAGCAGCCCTGGAATTGTCCTAGACCTCTCACAGATGAGAAATGTTTCAATTGATATAGAGAAAAAGGTGGCTATTGTGCAAGGGGGTGCAACAATGGGCGATGGATTGAGAGCTGCTGCTTCAGAAGGGCTAGCTATCGCGACGGGGACGTGTAACGAGGTCGGCTTGGTGAGTTAAGAGCATCACCGCATGCATACCAGTGTGTATCTGCCGCTAACAACGGGATGCAGGTTGGGGCTGCTCTAGGAGGTGGTATCGGCCGTTTGCTCGGACATTATGGCTATGCAGCAGACACAGTAGTCTCAATGCGAGTTGCGGTGGTTGGAAGCAGCGGAAGAGCACGGATAGTTGAAGCATCGCGGGAGATCAACCCAGACCTCTTCTGGGCCCTCCGCGGCAGCGGCCATTTGTTCGGAGTAGTCGTTGAGGCCACCTTTCGGGTTTTCCCCTGGCAGCATGAGACATGGCATAGCTGCCTTGCATTCCGGCCGTGTGATGCCGGGCGGGTGGCAGAGGCTGTGGACCGGGTCAGCTATCGCGGAGGGATGCAGGGCCGGCTGGTCTTTTGCGCCCCCAATAAGCAGGTAAGCGGAAGACCTACCATGGATAGCAATGATATCAGGAAGAGTGGTTGAACGGATGCTGATGGAGAATCCTCCCCTCTAGCCGATTGTTCTCCTGCAGCTGTGGTATCTGGGCAACCCCGAGGAAGCTGCTGAGAAGTTCGAACCCTTGCTGGGACTCCCGTTCATGGCAGACCACCCGCTGCACTCGATCGGGCGTCTGATACCGTACGTGAATCTCAACGACTCCAGCGAGAGGATCTGTTCCTACGTGGGGAGGAAGAACCTGGCAGCCTTCGGTATGCGGAGCATCTCAGAAGCTTCATGCATGGCCGCTCTTATGGTATATATGGACTTCATCACCCAGTACCCGGAAGCGCTAAGGACGCACATTCTCACGGAGTTCTACAGCATGGACGTGGTAAGTGAACTGGACCAGGACGGGGAGGAGACCTCGATTCCCGGAAAGATGCGGCGGGCAGTGAAGTACTGGGTGATGCCCCTGGCCTGGTACGAAGACGCCGCGCTGGATGATGCATGCGCAGGACTCAACGGGGCTGTTAGAGACGCCTTTCTGACGAATACGGATGGTAGCCGCGCTGAGAGTATTGCGTACATCAATATGCCCTTCGAGAGAGAGGATGCCAGTGATATCTTTGGCGATAAACAGCATCTAGAAAGGCTGCGGAGCCTGAAACAAAAATGGGACCCCTTAAATATAATTCGGGGTACAGTTGGTTTTTGTTAGAATTTGGCAGCTAACTAGCTAACTAGCAGTTAAATATTGTTTAATGACGGCCTTCGGAGATGAAAGCTATTGACGTCATAGTTAGCCATCAAGTTATTATCGTTATATGCCTACCTAGTAACTAGTTAATATAACTAGAGGTTGTTATCTTCACATTCTGTAAATTTTATGTAGCTAGTAAATTCTAGCTGCCCACAAGCGAGTACTACTCGACGCTGCTTTCTAGTTAGTTATAACCATGAAGAACGCACTGCTTTACCGCCGCCGCGGCCGCACACGCCGGGGTCCCTATCGCGGGGCCACTCTGCCCGTCGATCCGGGCCCGCTGTTCTGCTGGCTGTGCGGCGCGCCGCTGGAGTCCTGCGCTGATACATACAGAAATGATCCGCCCTCAGTTGTGTATGGGAAGGAAAAGTGGTACTCTGCCTGGACGAGGCATCAATCGTACCGCTCCTTGCGCAAGCAAAAATTCTCTCCTTGCTTGCCTACTTCGCATCTCAGCGGTTCGCTCGGGGGACAAAGAGCGTGGGTTAATCTTTTTCGTATGAGTACGTGACTAGTTCGTCGTTGCTACTGATGCTCGTTATGGAACTTGGTCTGACTTGAATGTTTGTGTCTAGTTATATTCAGCAAGAATGACAAGCTCCTCTCTCAGGGCTATCATCTCTCCGGAATAGGCTACACGCCTGGTGCCCGCACCTTGAAGGGGAAACATATTCTCAGTCTTCGAGATCCAGCTTCTGCGTGTATCGGGTTTACCAAGGAAAATTCGGATGCCTTGAAGGTGACCCCGGTGCCACATCCATTTACTCCTCGTGATTCTGATGATGATAATTCTTCCCTTGAAGGATATCCCCTCCATTCTCGATGCTGGGATCTCATTCAACATAACATTGGGCCTGTGGATGGTTTTGAACTGGATCTTCTTGTTGCAGCATTACGGAAACAGTGGGATGACTTGATGCCTCAGCTGGTGGCGGCATCCACAAACTATTACTCGCCCCTCTTTGCAGGGCCGTTTGACTACTTTTTAGCCGGTCGCCTCGGGCATTCAAAGGAATATCGGCGGGTACTTGCATTTCGGGATTACATGCATTGGGATAATAAAAGCTTTCCCCGACAGCCAACGTTGAGCTTGCCAGATCCTGTATTTATACCGGAGTTGGATTCATTATTCCAAAATTGCAGACAAAAGTCATCCCTTATTAGACGATCCTCAAAGCGGATTCTGACTCTTGATTATCGGCTTCCATTGGAGATACTGATGTGTATCGCAGACTATCTTACTACCCAAGAGCTATATACCATGCTGACTGCATTTGAAGAGGAGTTTCCCATAGAGTATTGGAAGCGGCAGATTCCGGTTGACCTTTTTTTTGAGCTGAACTACGTTGATTCGGAATCTTTTCCCTGGGCATTCTTTGTGTCTGAAGTTCTGAGCCAGAATCTGCTTGAAAAATCCGGTGAATTGTGGAACAGAATGCATATTATGAAATTGTTGGCCCCGATAAAAGATTACGTGTTACAAGAAAAACGGTGAACCTTTTCTCGTCCTAATAGTTACATTCAAAATGCGTCCTCAACTCTGAAGCTCTGGATATCTCCATGGAATAAAAAGTTGTCTATAGTGTATGGAGTATCTCCCGCCTCTAACATGTTCTCTGCGTTAACTCGAGTGTGTATAATAGGAAACTTTACTTATCAATCTACTGTTCAGCGGCCACAAAAGAACGAACAAGCAAGGTAAATAAACCATACGGATCTGATTAAAAAGCACACGCGATCTCACCGACCGGTCACTAAGGACCTACACGTAATCGGGAGCTCTCAAACATTAATGGTTCTCTCGAACATACGCAAGCAAATCCTGTATGCCCTGGCACTGTCTTTCAACATGAAGGTGCCCGTCATGAAGCGCCGTCAATTGTCGACTATCCTCGTCAAAGAGGACAAACTGCGCCCATTTCCCTACTGCCACAATCCCATATCTGGGGCGATTTCTTTTGGGCTCAAGATGCGGCAAATAGTCCAGCAGCTTAGCTTTAGCTCCCTCCCAGGCCGAGTCCTGTGTCTCCTTTCTAGGAGCCTTCGCTTGCACAACAAGAAATTGTACCTCATAACATTGTTTTCCTTGTTGGATAAAATGGAGACCAAGAAGGTCTGTAACCCCCCCCCCCCCCCCCCGGGGAAAGACTCTGGGCGCAAATCATATACTCATGTTCTGCCTTAAAAACTGATGCCAAAATAGCTATCCAGATGCCTGTAACGACCCCTTCGGCATCGTCTTTTTGAAGTCTTTTAAGTGATCGGTTTATCCGCAAATTTCAAGATACTATCTTTTGTGTTAAACACCAAAATTCTAGTTCCATGATACCCAATTACTTACGGTGTCATCCCGGGGTTGTTGAGTGAGAAGATGAGCCATGGTAGTGGGTTTGGTATCGTTCCAGACAGCAGCTGTTGGTTTGAGATTGGAATATAAGATAATAAATTCTGGGATACGGTCTTGAGCTCTAGCTATGTGGCTTCTTGATGGCTGTATCAAAGGGGCGTGTTATATCCTTGAGGTTCAGACTGACTCCTATTGCTAATTTTTGCTGTACTTTTATCAGAAAGGAGGATGATGATATTGAAGCTCTATCGAATGTGCTAAAGCAAGGTGTAACTTAGCGAGATGAGATGACTAATACAAAAACTGACAACTTTCTATTCAATCTCTCTTTGAATTTGATAACACATTTAATTTTACTATTATTGGATATATAAGTGTAATAAATTGCTGAATATAGAGGGGTATAAATAGCCTATTTATATTTTATAATTATATCATTTCAGGTGTATAGTCTATTTGGGTTGACAACCTGGTTCTTCCCGACCAGACTGATATGCCCGATATCAAATTGCATTCTCGAATCACCAATCATTCCTGGAAGGGACCACAGCCGGTTGCTCTTCTCTAGACCCTGGGTACTGGATAGGACATTGACATTCTTATCACGAAGTTCCTCACCAAAGTCTACTCCGAAGCGGAACAAACTGTATCCATCCAGTGTGTCAGACCAGCGACGGCCAAAGCCATACATCACGCCCAAGACAATACATCCTACGGGCCAAATTCCCAGAAGTATGGTCGAAACCACCGGCGGAACAACACCAGGTTCTAGAACCTTTCCACGGCGAGATGATGTCAAGTTTGTGTTGAGATAGCCGCCATTTACTCCCGTAGCACCATCATACATCAGCTGCAAGCCATCAACAGCGTGGGCTTGTAGAACCGACTGTAATAGAACTTGTGGCTGTACAAACCGATCATAGCAGGCTGAATTGGAAAGGATATAGGGGAGGGGTGAATTGGTCGACTCGAAGATTTCGGTATAGCGGCCTAGCAAAATGGATATTGCAGTGGCACCAAAACGAGGTTGCTTGGCCTCATATTCGGCCGCCGACCATATTGGGCTGGGTGATTTTTCAAACTCGCTGAAGGTACTTGTTCGGGAGTCCAGTTTGGCGGTACCGAGATCTGATATGCGACGACATTGGACTCCAATAGGAGGAGCCAAAGTGATATTTTCATTGAAGTGATCGTAAGCGACGAAGGAAACAAAGTCCTTTACATTAGTATAGGTGTCGTTTGACCAGTCAAAGAAGGAAGCATTACGTTCGAATTTTCCGCTGGGAGTCCGGATGATAGGGCTGCCCATGTCTGCGACGGTAGGTTTGAGGGTATAGTTGAAAGTTATTCTGTCGTCTCCGTCGTACGAACAAGGGCGACGGACCTGCCATAGCGCATACTCCAAGATCTCAGGCTTGCCAGATTCGAAACTAGGCTCAGAGCCGTCGTACGTGGACGAGACGAAGTCATGGCTCACTCCCATCTCAGTATATGCCCAAAGATTATCTCCACCGATCGACTGGCTGCTGTTGAAGAAGGTGATGGTTGCACCAGAAGGTGTCGCGAGGGTTTTATATCTGATAGCACCGTCGACCATGCCAGAGGCATTAGACTTCAGAGCTGGAGATTTTTGGGAAAGGATTGTGAACTCCGAGGCTGACTGGACCATCGAGCAGTTATACTGAAGCCGAAGTCCCCAGGCCTTACCACCGATAGGCGTCGCCGCCTGCGGCCCAAGGAAGAGCTCGGGAATTCCGGGGTTAGAGGAAAGGGAGTTTGGCAGCGTGGTTAGAAACTCGAACTTCTCACGATCGACCTGTGGAGGGGTGTAGGCAATACCAATGCCCGGAATCACTGCGGATGCTGTTTTCCAAACTGTCCCGCCTCGTTTCTGAGTCTGGTAAGGCTCACGGCGATGGAAGTTGCTCCATTCACGGCCAACGACCATCGGCGGCGCTGACGATTCGATATACCCGTCTGCGAGTTCCATGGACAAACCGGAAATTGGGAATGCGACTAAAGGCACTAAGCTTAGCACGGCAAGAAGATACCACAGTCGGCCTGCGAGGTTCTTTTCCATGGAAACAGCGCGTTGTATGCATTTCATCCATCCTCCTGGCCCGGCCCAGGTGCTCCCGCTATGCATCAGGAGCCGCATTGCACTCTTTGGCGCCCAGAAAGGCACTTGTAGCATCGCAGCCTCGACGCCAACAAGACCATATCGTGAAATGTTCAACCCGAAAACACCAACCACGAACCAGGAATAGTAAACCCATGTTCCATCGCGAGATCGATATTTAACAGTATCGGTGTCCTTGAAGAAGAAAAGCCAGACCATTAAGAAGTAGATGAAGATGATGACCGGGCCGAGGATCAAGACAAAGGTACGGAACCAAAATCGGCGCAAGGGGTATCCTCTCGCGGGGTCATTTAAATCCTTGCACGACGGGTCAGGACTGCCATCTGGCACTGTGGAAAATAGCTGAATAGCAGATTCATCAACATTTTCCTTTGGGGCCATGGCGAGGGTTTAGACCGTAAAGTCGTCAGTGCACACAGTGGTGATGCGTCCCGGTCTGGGTATTATGAATATAGAAATCCGTTATCTTTCCTTGACTCGTTAGTTGATCATTCACCAGTGCGTTTCATTAGATCGTAACTAGTTATCGCGTAGTTGATGCTCGACCAAGGGGGTGTCTTGTCCACCAGCACCTGCAAGAGAAAACAACAAGTCGAGGAGCTTTCATGTTGAAAGGTGAAGAAGCACTGGGAATTTATATCCATGAGTATGCTCCTGCACCAGAGGCGCTCGAGCTCCCGGTCCTCCCTCATTCCCGCTGTCCCCTGCGCCCCTCGCCCATCTCAACCCTCCATTGGTGCCCTGGAGCAAGCCAGGGCCAGCCTTGCATGCATGGCCGTCGTTGTTTAGTGGGGTATGCAGTCACGGCCCCGTTGGTAACTATCACCCTGTTTAACTATGGGGAGGCTTTCGAGATGCATTGCAGCCTGCCTCGTAACTGATTCAGCTTCTTCTCTGCTCCTCTACCGATTCTTCCCGTGCACGGCCGTGGTGGGGTGGTTATGATATGACTCCATTCACAATCACAGAGCTAAGAGACAAACAAGGCTGTCCGTGGGCATCGCATCGTCGGGAAATTGGTTGCTTCCAATGTTGAAGGATTTGGGTTTCGTATCGAGGAGCCAGAACCGCGTTGAAGGATCAGCCAACTCGCTAGTTACAGTAACTCACTAACTATAACTAGTTAGTTATATATTTGGCTAGAGTGAGTTAGTTCAAAGTTCCCACGTGCTTAAGATCGCTTTTTGTCATACTCAAGTTAGACCATCTGAGGTCCAGCCTGGTTAAGAACTGAGATAAGTATAATCGCTGGAAGGATAAGAACACGAAATAGAGAAATCTTAAAGAGTATAAATCTAGTTAACTATACTTTTTAGTGTATTTTATATATTATTATTAGTTACTAGTTTATCATTAAAAATTCAAATTATATAACTAAATTCCAAGTTATTTTATTCTATTAGTTAATTCTATATTTAATAAGTGTGTGCACAATCTAAAATTACACCTTGAATAATAACTAGTTATCGAAGTCTGGTGCTACTTCAAAAGGAGTGAGCCCACGCCAATGAGCCGAAGTTTGACAAATGGTTTATATACGCTTGTTGGCTTGCCAGTATCTCAATCCTAACAAGTTAACACTTTGTGGTTCCTGACATTAGTTGATCCAAAACCCTGAACCTTGTTAGAGATCTTTAGTTAGGCAATAACTAGTTAATGAGTATTAAGTGTAAGTTAATTGTACAATTTCTTTCTAATAAGCTGCCTTCTATATGCTGGTATGCTCTAAATTGTATGGACGAATACTTTCAAGCGCAAGGCACATCCCGTGTCTTGTCTTCCTGCAACATGATCGTATAATAGATACCGTGGTCTCCCTGGAATGCGGAAGGTTGGAATCAATCAGTGAGTTTGCTCCTTGTACATTATTTTGTTGGCCTTTGTCAGAAAGCCAATGGTTAACGGGTTGCTAGAAATATATATGATTTCTCTGTCGCTCGCAAACCCGTTGAAACCAGTTGCGAGGCATGTTGAATAGGCTGGCATCAGATCAGTAAAGGCCAGGAAGCATGGATAGTTAACTAACTGGTTAACAGTTGTCGAAACAGGAGAACTTGAACTTACCGCCCATGTCTGGAAAATAGAGCCAGTCACCAAAAGTCAAGCGTTCTGGAAGCTCCACGTCCTTTGCAATGCAGTCGACTCCATCGCAAGTCGGCCCCCAGAGGATATTCTTGACCTGGTCGCCCGCAGCGGGTTGTGGGTAGAAAACCCCTGAGGCGCGAAGGACCCGAGGATGCGGGCTTGGCTCAAACAGACTAGAAGAAAAAGTTCCATACACGCCATCGTTTAGATACAGCATGTTGCTCGCCTCCTCCGCGGATGGAGGCGCTTCTTTTGCATCCCGACGGGCGATGATCTCACAGGCAATTGTCATGGCGCCTGCTGCAAAGTACCGCCCCGGCTCGGCGACGAGCTCTACATTAACATCACAGAAGTGAAAGTCCAGAGATCGTTGAATCGACGCAGCCATATCCTCAAATGTGCTCTCTGAAAAGCCCCCGCCAATATCCAACAGGCGCATGCTGTGGCCGATCCGGATACCTGCGTCGAAGATCCGTCGACTACTTTCTATGGCGATTTCGAACGCATTTGGGTCCCTTGCGCCAGAGCCAATGTGGAAGCTCACGCCAATAACATTCAATCTCAAGGATTTTGCACACTCCAAGAGCCTCACGGATGCCTCTGGATGAGCTCCAAATTTAGCAGAGAGGGAGTATGTGGCTGATGGGTCGGAAGCGAAACACCGCAAAATCAGCTGGCTTTCTGGGAACAGCTGCTTGATCTTGTGAAGCTCAGCCTCATTATCAAATGTCAATCGATTCACGCCAACATTTCTGGCAAAAGTGATGTCTGATGGGCTTTTGCACGGATTGGCGAAAAGTATCCTCGCGGCCGGGATTCCCTGGGCCAAAACTAGCTCTATTTCACGTCGAGATGCACAATCGAACCCGCATCCCAGTGATCCCAAAAGCCCGATCATATGCACGTCGGGATTACATTTGACGGCTAGAAATCGCTCGAAAAGAATCAATCAGAACGAAGCAACACTGGATATCATGGGAGAAACATACCATAAAACGGCGTCACGCCTGGGAGAGTCTTTTCCCAATGCTCATATTGGTCGTGAACATATCCAAGATCCATTACACAGAACGGCTCAGTCTTGGATCTCTTTGACTTTGGGGATAGTCTCCATTTCATTGCTTCCAGAACGGCAATGTTGGTTGATGAAATCTTTCTCGCGTTCCAAAGAGCAATAGTCCCATTGAGAGGCATGGCGCTCTTCAGGGGTTCAGGCTCATGATATAGCATTGTGGCAGACAGTTTTCGCTATCCTCCCTCTGCAGCCCTTTTGCAATCAAAGTCCCAACCGGATATCAACCTGGAAACCCAGTATAGAACAATATATTGAAAAGGAGGTCGGCTTTCGTGATCCCAAATTGAATATACAAAGAGAGGAAACCTTCACGACCTTGAATCTTTCAGCAATCTCAAAGGACCGAGCGGAGTAAAGCAGGTAGTAGTAAGCAGAAAGAATTGGGAATTTGCCTAACTCCCCCCATTAATAGTGGCCCGTACTCCGTATTTTTTGAGATGCGGTTATACATTCCTTGGATGCCTATTCTTAAAAGACCCACAGCGGCTTATTCTCTTGAAATTTACCTAATTTTGGGAAATGAAAGCATCTTATTCTCGAGATAGCTGGTTATTGAGGATCAACAGTATCCAAGATCCACCAAGTCTCTATCAGCTGCATGCATACGGAGTATATACGCCCCGATCATTGAGTTGTTGTTGAACCAAAAAGTAACATTGCTTATTTAGCAGCAGCGAATGATAGGGATGATGCTGAAAACCCTTGACAGCTTTTCAAAGCGCCTGGGATCAGGGCCCTGTCAATCTCCACTCTCCGACATTTCATCGAGTATTTAGTTAGCCTAAGTTGCGGTGTCCCCTTGCATCGCTGTACGTACTCCCAGCTCTTTAAGTAAGTGGCTTTCTCTAGCTTTGCAACGAGGCGTGCAGAATGATGCGTATACAAATTGAGCTTCCGCAGAGCCTTGCGCGTGGGCCTCGATCTTCAGTCTTCCAAGGCGTAACTACATGCCCAACCCTTGCATGACGATCTTGACAAATCGGATGCTAGCAAAGATGAGATTCGAAGCTCAGCCAAAAATGGGATTATCCTCACTCAGTTAACTACCAGTTGAGACCAGGTCAGATATAAGACACATTTCCCAGGCCTGCTGTGTCTGTGAGCCACCGACAAATATACCATGAAGTTCATTGCAGGCCAATCGCCCCTGGTGCTCGCTGCACTGGCAGCACTGGCATGGGCTTCTCCCTACCCTCCCTACCAACAACCCCTGCGGGCGGGACCCCCAGCCCTTCTCCACCAGCTTGAGGTGGCCGCAATTCGATCCGAGATCGGCCAAGGGGTCAGCATGTTTTGCCTGCTCGTCGATGAGCATCGCTTCGAAGAGATGAACAAGGTATTCACATCAGGGGATGTCCATATCGACCTACCCGAAGATGGCTTCCGAAACCTGAACAGTCTGGATACATTTGTGCGAAATTTGTATACCTACGCGGACTATCCATTTCAGCATGCGATCGGAGTTCCGATTGTTGACGTCGAAAAATCCATGACGGTCGCCCATGCGACCTCCCCTTTGATCGCGACCATTTTTGACGGCTACGATGGTGAAAAAGCTGTGCCCAACGGGGCAGAATATGGATTGTATGTATATGACTACCCCTACCAATCTTTTCGTAAATAGAGTCCTAACAAAAGTTCACGCAGCTATATAACGGATCATGTTCTCACCGATGATGGCTGGAGAATTCAAAATATCTCGGCCAAAGCCCTCGGAAAGTACTTGGAAGATTAGATTAGATTATCCGACTAGTTATGTAACTAGATGTCTATAATTTGTCTGCGGAACGATAGGAATTCGTGTGTTGTAAACTGAAGTCTATACAACCTGGTCGGCCATTATTGGGGTGATGGGTCACCTCTATAGTTAGATCACTATTTTTATGTGGGACTAGGAAAAGAAACAAAGTGAATGCACCGAGTATCGCTATCAAGACAATTGGAGCCTATACCTACATCCTGAAAGAGCACGAGATCACCTGGGACCACTATTCTGGCTCCTGACGACGGCCTCTCGTAGCTTTTATTGGTAGAAAGCAGCATGAGATCCATTGACTATTCTTTCTGCCAGGCATATTCGCTGTACGGCTGTGTTCGTATTTAACTAGTTACCCTCTCAGATTCAGGTTGAAGGAGACTCAATTTTGCGTGCTCTCTCAACAAGCCACATTCACTGAAGGCAACCGATCGACGTCTGAAATTGGTATCCCGCGTCTGGTTCAAAGCCCAAGTGTATCCAGCATGGGGTACAGAGTACTGGGTATGATATATCAAATTGATTCACTCAAAAATGCGAGGCAGGATAGGATGGAGAATTTATACCGCAGTTTCGGACGGAGTCAAATCATTTTGATATCTTCCTTGATTCTTCATGACTTGTTGAAAAACTGCCGTATATCCTCAGTCACCTCTAGGCAGGGGTTCATTCATTCAACTATATCATCATGGGTTCTCAAGATACCGATTCTGATGACCTTTTCGACCGTAGCTTGAGCTCCTCCCACAGCAGCTCTCCCCCGACCCCTGCAGCCCCGAAATCCTCCATATATCAAACAAATACCCTTGATTCTGTTTGGAAATGGAACGCGAATGCCCCTCCCACTCTCAATGCCTGTGTGCATGAGCTGGTTCAAACCAGAGTCGACTTGACCCCGGATGCTATTGCTATAAACGCCTGGGACGGCGTATTGTCATACCAACAATTGGCCTCTGAGGCTGCCCATTTTGCGCGGCAGCTCATAGATTCTTATCAAGTGGTACCGGGCGAAAAGGTACTGGTTGCGTTGGAACGAGGTCTTTTGATTCCCGTGGCTGTGCTAGCAATTATCCAAATCGGTGCTACCTTTGTTCTTCTTGACACCGCATCACCGGAATCCCGACTGCGACAGATAGCTGAAAGAACATGTGCACGAGTCACTGTGACGTCCCAGAGTCTGACCACGTTGGCTCGGAGGCTGTCCTCGAGTGTGATGACGATCTGCAAGCGCAGAAGCGAGCCCTCCTTTATCGCAACCCCTGGGACGACCTCTTCTTTATGGCCCGCCGACCCTTCTTCCATATTATACGTCGTCTTTACATCGGGAAGCACGGGAAATCCAAAGGGTGTAGAGGTTTCCCATTCCAATTTTGTCTCTGGGCTGCAACAACAGAGTGAATTGTATCAACTGAGCCAGGACTCGCGATTTCTCCATTTTGCCTCCTACAGCTTTGATGCATATGTACACGAAATCCTCATCACTTTGACACAGGGAGGATGCCTATGCATTCCATCAGATACCGATCGCATGCAGCGTCTCTCCGCAGCCATGAATGAGATGCAGGTTACAATCGCGCTGATGACTCCCACCAGCTCCCAGTTGATTGAACCAGATAAGGTGCCAACTTTGCAGACCTTAGTGTTGGGGGGAGAGTCCATGTCCCGGGCAGTGATTGAGCGCTGGTCGCCTTATGTCCGCCTAATCAATGCATATGGACCTGCGGAGTGTGCTGTGGTGAGCACAGGTTATGTGGTTGATGTCCACCGCTGTCTTGAGACTGGGATTGTCCCCATCGGCCGAGGCTATGGTTGCGTAACATGGGTAACACATCCAGACAATGTCAATCATCTTACCCCCGTTGGAGAAGTGGGTGAGCTTCTCATTGAAGGCCCCAACGTGAGCTCAGGCTATTTATCAGACCCTGAAAAGACGGCGGCATCGTTCATTGAAGATCCGAAGTGGTTGATAGAAGGCTCCCCCTTTGCCTGCTTCGAGGGTCGCCATGCCCGATTGTACAAAACAGGCGACCTGGTACGATACACAGAGGATGGCAACTTGGTTTTTGTTGGACGCAAAGATACCCAGGTCAAGCTTCACGGCCAGCGGATCGAGCTTGAAGAAGTAGAGCACCAGATACAAAGCTTTCTTCCTGGTGGGAAGAAGGCTGTTGCAGAGGTCATTCAGCGGGGGGGCCAGAACAAGGCAGCGCAGTTGGTGGCCTTCATTGAAGTACCAGACCGAGAACTGGAAAGCAACCGGGAGAGTTTCACGCAAGAGGCTTCCGGCGGTGGCCTTGATCCTATTTTCCGTGCAGTCGATGCCGAATTTCAACAGCTGGAGGAGACGTTGCTCTCCGCCCTCGCAGAAAGGCTTCCTTCGTATATGGTCCCCTCTGTCTGCCTACCAGTCGCCCGCTTCCCAGAGACTCCCTCGGGGAAGCTGGACCGCAAGTATCTGCGAGAAGCGGGACGGGGGCTTCTGGACGTTTTGCTCCAAAGGCGCGTGGCATACAACTCATCTCAACCGTCATGGAAGCCCGAGCAGGCCGTTATGCGGGGATTGTGGTCACTGAATCTCGGCATCGACGAGGATGAAATTCTTCTCGATGACCATTACTTCCGGCTAGGAGGAGACTCGGTATCTGCCATCAAGCTGAGCGTCGCAGCCCGCCGAAGGAACGTCTCCTTGGATGTGAAAGATATCCTCGGCCACCCGACGCTGCTCGACATGGCCGCCAGGATGCGCGAAGGAGAGAAGAAGACCGACGAACAAACAGATCTCATGGCCCCGTTCTCCCTAATCCCGAAAGACGACGTGCCATCTGTTATTGAAGAGGTTGCCAAAGCCTGTCGGATCTCTGAGGCTCAGGTCCAAGACATTTACCCCTGTACACCACTCCAGGAGGGACTCATGGCGCTTTCAGAACGGCAGCCCGGCCAGTATATAGCGTGTGAAGTTCTCAAAGTCCATCCACGAGCAGACCTGACCCGGCTCTGCGCAGCCTGGGCAACAGCATGCAACCTGAACGCGATCATGCGTACAAGAATTGTTCAGACGTCGTCTGCAGGGCTGGTCCAGGTTGTCGTTCGCCATGATCTAGACTTTGCCAGCCGTGATACAATAGGGGCCTGCCGTTCTGACAATGTGGAATTTGGGCTTGGGTCTCCTCTTACTCGGCTGCGGGTTGTTCAGAGCTCAAGTCAGAGTGAGAGCTCGTACATTGTTCTCCTTGCTCATCATGCTGTCTGTGACGGTTGGCAGGCTCGCGCAGTGGCCAGCCAGGTCGAAGAAATATACGAGGGTCGATACGGCACTCCTCCTCCTGGCTTCAACACGTTCGTCCGTTATCTGTCTCGCGTGGACAATGACAAAGAGACTGAGTATTGGCAGAGGGCGCTGGGCAATGGCAATGTTCCAAGCCATTTCCCTACAATTCCTCCAGGTAAAACAGCCGGATGGGCCAATCAAACACAGCATCGGGAGATCTGGGTTGACTTCGAGTCCGCAGAGAGGAACACGGAATATACCCTTTCGACATATATTCGGCTGGCATGGGCTTTCTTGACATCTAAATATACCACGTCTGATACAGTTGTCTTTGGTGCAACTGTCACTGGCCGGAATGCCCCGGTTCCTGGCATCAATGATATCGTCGGTCCTACCATTGCTACAGTCCCGCTCAAAGTGTATCTGGATAAAAACAGTACTGTACGCGCATGTCTCGAGGCGATGCATCATCAAGCTGTCGAGATGATACCTTATGAGCACACTGGTCTACAGCGGATACGAAAACTGGGCGAGGAAGTGGAGGCTGCTTGTGACGTTCATGCCCTACTAATAATTCAACCTACTCCGACCGCACAGGACCCCATGGCGCCCCAAAACCGGGTGGAAGATGAGGAGGACTTTTTGCTCGCTTTCAGCAACTATCCGCTGGTTGTCGAATGCACCCTTCCAGGCCCAGGAACTGGACTGGGAGTGCGCGTAGCCTTCAATGACCAAATCACCGACATGGAGCATATCAACCGAATGTTGTTGCACCTAGAGCACGTCTTGAAAGAGCTCTCATGTAAACCAGATCATGAACTGCGGGACATTGACATTATCATTCCGCAGGAGGTGGAGCAGCTACAGGCGTGGAACGGCCCCCTTCCTCAGTCACAGGGTCGGTGCATACACGATCTGATCTGGGAGCAGTTGGCCAGTCAACCCTCAGCCGAAGTAGTGTACGCATGGGATAAATCACTGACAGCAGAGTCACTTTCTCACTTCTCCCTGAGGCTGACCAGTTATCTGCAAAGCTTTGCTATCGGACCCGAAGATTACGTGCCTCTCTTCTTTGACAAGTCCTCCTTGGCCATCATCAGCATTCTTGCGGTATTAACTAGCGGCAGCGCATGTGTCACTCTAGATAGGAAGCAGCCAGATCAGCGTCTCATTGAGATTGTGAGACAGACTGGAGCAAAATACATGCTCGTATCGGAGAAGCACAAGGGGATGCTTGAAATCGATGGGGTGACGCAAATCGTCATCAGTTATGCCGAATTGGAGAAGATGCCTCTCCCTTCACATGGCGAGATATTCTCGACCACCCGCGCCAGGCCAGAAAACCCGGCATTTCTCATTTTTACCTCTGGAAGCACGGGTAAGCCCAAGGGCATCATCCTCGAGCACCGCAATTTGTCCTCGGCGACTCTCGCTCATGCAGCCAACATGAACATTGTGCGCGGGGCCCGTGTGCTTCAATATGCTTCTCCATCGTTCGATGTTAGCATCTATGAGATCCTGATGACATTAGCGATGGGTGGATGCCTTTGCGTCCCCTCTGATTACCAGCGCATGAATACCCCCAGCGAATTTGCTCGCGAAGCAAAGGCCGAAGTTGTGATTATTTCGCCCACTGCGATTCGGTCAATGAGTCCTGACGAAGTGCCATTACTGAAGACCGTTGTATTGGTCGGCGAGGCTATCCCCCGTGATGTAGTGGAAACATGGAGCCGCTCTTCTTTGGTAATGAATGGATACGGTCCCGGCGAATGCACTTTCTGCTCCACTACCCCGATCGACACTCAAAAATGGGATCTTGCAACTGTCGGTCGTGCTGGAGGTTGTGTGTTCTGGCTCACGGACCCAACGGACTACAACCTTTTGGCACCCATTGGAGCTGTGGGTGAAATCCTCATTGAAGGCCCGGTGGTCGGCCGTGGATATCTGAACGACCCAGAGAGAACGGCCGCCAGCTTCATAAACGACGCTAAATGGCTAGGCCGCTTCCGAGAAAATGGTCGCGGAAGGCTCTACCGATCTGGAGACCTGGGGATGTATAATCCGGATGGTTCGGTGGTGTATATGGGTCGGCGGGATATGCAGGTGAAACTACGGGGCCAGCGTATCGAGATGGGAGAAGTAGAATTCAACCTGCAGCGCCTACTACCCAATGCTACGATCGTTGTCGAGGTGGTCAAATATGGTGAAAATGAGAGAGTCACGGCATTCATAGCTCTTTCTCAAATGGAGGCTTCCACGACTGTGACGACAGCAACGTCTCCTTCATCTATATTGCTCCCTCCTACTCAGCGGGTCGTCCAAGCAGCACAGCTGTCTGCCGACTTGGGCCAAGTACTGCCTTCATACATGATACCCTCAGTATATCTTCCCCTTGCGAGGGTTCCAACGACATCGTCTGGCAAGATAGATCGGAAAACACTGAAACATGCGGCCAACAGTATGTCACTGGTTGATATCATGGCGTATGGCGAAGAGCAGTCCTCCACGACAGAGCCATCTACCACTGCGGAATTGGCCCTCCAGAAAGCCTGGGCAAGCTTGTTGAAGATCAGCCCAGACACGATTAAACGAGAGACCGACTTTTTCCAAGCTGGCGCTGACTCTGTGGAAGCAATGAAGTTGGTTAGTATGGCGCGTCGAGAAGGGCGGACACTCAATGTCGCCCAAATCTTTGCCAGCCCACAGCTATGCGATATGGCTCTCTGGTGGGATTCTCAAAGAGATAATGACGACGATGCGCTGGAGAAGGAGTGGCCTGCGTTTGCGTTACTAGATGACTCGGAGACTGAGACATTCATCGAACGCCATATTTGCGAGCCTCACTCAATCCCCCGGGAGAAGATCAAGGATGTATATCCGGCTACTTATGATCAGGTGCTGGTATATAGCATCAACCATACTGTGTACGCTCACTTCGAAGTTGATGAACGACTGGATCGTGCTCATATCGTTGAAAGCTGGTTGCAAGTTGTCCGCCAGCATGACATTTTGCGCACCGTACTAGTCCCAGCTGGTAATGATCAATACTGGGCCGTGGTTCGAACCGGCGATGTCTTCGACGTTGATTATCGAACGATCAGACATGATTCTGAACTTCATCAAATTATCGATACTGATCATGCATCCGGGCTTCACCCCGGTTCGTTCCTCGGCAAACTGTTTGTGCTCGAGTCTGCCAATAACGGGAAAGCCGTTATCATCCTGAAGATGAACCATACTATTTTCGATGGATCATGCTTCGCATTGTACTGGTCCGACTGGCAATCGGCCTATGAACGGGGCATCGTGCCGACTCGCCTGCAGTACCAGGATGTTCTGTGCTCCCGCCGACGGATTGACTCCTATGCGGCAGCTAGACAGTACTGGGGAGACATGCTCCACGGCCTGGAAATGCAAAGTCTACCAACTATGTCCGAAGACTCAACCCCGGAGCGTATGGGAGACCCACTTAAGATCTCTCGGTGCCTCACCCACATCTCTCCACCGGCTGAAGTCGTTCTTGACTCCTTCATCAAGGCCGTTTGGACTGTCACACTAGCCAGCCTCTCAGGGAAGAGGGACGTCGGCTTCTATCATATCTCCAACGGGCGGCGCCTCGGCGGCAGACGGACAGAGGAGGCTGCTGGTCCCCTGATGCAATTGTATCCCATGCGGGCCCAATTACAGTCTGACTGGCGGCTGGTTGATCTGTGCCGTTTTCTGCAAGAGCAGGACATGCGGAACCTCCCACATGAACTTCTCACGACCGCGGAACTCTGCGAGGTGGCAGGATGCAGCGATACTTTCTCGGGGACCCTCGTGGATCACGTCAAAGATGACATCGAGTCCGGGCTGTCCTTCGATGGAATACAATGCGGTCTCTCAATGGAATGGCGGGGTGAAAATCAGGATGAAAACATTTGCTTTGTGAGATCCAAAGGCGATCAGCTTGAGGTTACCTTGTTCACGAGTTGGAACGTCCACAAAGTGGTAGCAGAAGAAGTGATGGATATATATTGTGAGAAATTGCAGTATTTCTCGAGCCATCCAGAGGCAACTATCTTTTGATGCTCGTAGTTTGCCGTTTCTCTCACTTATTTATATAGACATGTATAACTAGGGAATGCCTGTTCTAATTAACTATTAGAGATAGGCTATATGTTGAAATGATAATAGTAGAAGCAAATATGATTAGTTAAAAGTATATATAAAAGTAAATATATATATTATATTGTTTGTAGCTAAACAAGAGTCGACTGTAAAGATTATATACCAACCTTAACGTCTCTATCCTTGACAAATTATGATGAAACTCCGGTGGAGCAGGGTTGGATAAACGTCTTTACATAGGAACAAGTGGTTAATAACGCCTCGTCTATGTGATGCAAAGTTCCACAGCCACCTTAAAGCCTCTCACAAACAATATCAGGGATAGCCAAGCTGATCCATACACCAGGCTTTCGTTTCCAGTCCTCCAAATCCGTGCTCTCTCCCGACGAGAGCCTCATTTGATAATTCTCCACTAGGTGCGCTAGAAGAATTTTCAGTATAACATCTGCGACATTCTTCCCAAGACATTGTCTAGGGCCAAAGCCATAGCGCCAGAATCTATAGCGCATGTCAGTCACGTTTCGTGCATCTAGGAAGCGCTTCGGTCGATATTGGGTATTGTCTCGGCCCCAGTATGAGTCTAGGATGTTGAGAGCTTGAGTATCCACGACGAAATTCGTGCCCGCAGGGATCACGTAACCACCAACAACGCGATCAGTCGGTGCAGCCTGTGCAATAGAAAACGCTGCCATGGGCTTTAGACGCGCAGACTCAAGTATGGATGCCATCAAGAGAGTGGAATTCGCAGCAATGTACTGTGACCATGAATCAGCGGATTCACGATTTCTTGCATTTTTGATTTCTTGCCGTAGATCGTCTTGTGCACTTTGGTGCGCGGCAAGGAAGACGGGCACCCAAGAGAAGTTCCCAATTGTGACATCTAGATTGGCGAACAACGCCTCGTCTAGCGTGTGCAGCAGTTCCATCTTCGACAGCGAACCTTGCTGAATAGCATTATAAAACGTTATGATTGGGTGGCTGGGATAGTTCTCTCTCGCCCTCTTGTGCGCTTGATCGTTGAATTGGGTCCATTTCTCCGTGAACATTTTCAGTCTTCGATTAGTTGAAGTCGGGAAGAGTCGGCTGAAGGAAAACCGAGAAATACCTCCGCTTATCACCTCATTCCAGAGCCCTTCTCTAAGGGTAGCTATTTCTTGGAGCTGGGTCTCCATATCTGCAGTGAGGTCTCCATAGATGATATCACACAGTACCCAAAACGGCAGGAATTTGAGATCATCAGAAGAATTTATCAGAATATGCTTATTCTTAAGTTGCTCCGCCTTTTGCAGCATCTGAAATTGCCTGTCTACTCTGCGTTCGATTAAAGGGATATAGGATGACGACTTGTTGCGGTGAAAAGTATCGATGAACGGTGCTCGAGCTCGTGTCCAGTCATCCTGATTCAACAAGCCAAGGCACTGCCCAAGAATCTCCCCACAGAGCCAGCCAGAATCCATGGCTTTCCCCTTGATATGCATATTGGAGTCTTTAAACACAGCCTGTATGTGTTCCGCCCGGGTCAAGACACTGTAGCTATGTCAGTTTGCTGTGTGCACGGGAGGTATCACAAGCTCATGGCCTACACTTCGGAATCGAACGATGCCCATATTCGATAGATGGACCCAAACTCTTTCTCCCAAATTCGCGAGCCTACTTCGCCTTCCAAGAACTTTGCGACATTTCCTTGTCCATTGGGAAATTTGTACGGCACAGTCGGGAGCCTTGTCTTTCCATCGATTGACCGGATTGGAAACCTCCAGCAAAGATAAATCTACACAACATTAGTTTGAAAATGCACCTATATGTAGGCACGCTTTAGGAGTGCTCACATTAATCAGATAGGATATGATGTGATTAACAATGGTCCCTTCCGTGATTGCATACCGAACACCAATGGCAAGCAGGACAAGTGTGGCCAGGGAGATGTAGATGGCTGACGATGGCTGATGTGTGTTTAAGATATCAATGATTCTCCACGGATTACCTAGGGGCTCGGAATGCATTCTAAGAAGTGCAAATAAGCAGCCTTTCTAGTTGTGAAATTCGGAAGACCTTTGGTATCTTAGTCCTTGGGTGGAAATGGGGCGTTTGGGGAGGAAGGCAGTACTTGGAGGAATGATGTCGATCAGGAAACGCTTTATCAATACCTTCACTTCCCTCTGGTTCTGATCACAAGAGCATCTGTACGTACAAAGCGATACAAATTGAGCCTTGCACCATCAGGGATCAGGGATCCATGCACAAGGCCATACTCCGTGCTCCTCCGTTAGGGATGTATCCGGCCATACTCCGTACATGTCTAACTAATCCTTTGACGGGCATTTGATAGAAAGCCCATTTTAGGAATCGGAGTTTCACAGCCAATTGAGCCACGTCATATTCATCGTCTTTCTGGGTTGTGAGTTCCCAGTTTTCAGAGGTAGAACATACATATAACTACGTGGGTGGCTGTCCTTCGTGGCTGTATTGTAAAATCGGCTGCATAGCTATCCACTTCGTGCCTGCATCCCCTTGCTGCATAACTATGTATCCTCCGTCCGCATATACAGCTCCTTTAGCCGGTAATCTTCCGGTGCCCAATTCTGTGGCGAGCTGGCCTTCGCCAAGGAGGCACATCTCAGCCGGGTAGGGAATGCTGCTAGAAAAATAAAAATAAAATAAACAATGTCAAAAAGTATATGAAGTAGTCAGTTAACTGGAGCTCTTTGGTAGAAAACTGGACCTTTCTACGCACTCTTTAGCAAATAACTACAAAGAAACCCAATCCAATTATGGCTGTTGAACTCGAAAGCGGTAATCCAACTGGCATAGCCCCTGATGCGGCGACTGTGAGGGCAAGACAAAAGGGAGAGTATCATCTCGAATACCACAGCGAGGAGGTGGCCCGCCTAGCAGCACAGCACGAAGTGTTTTTGGATTTTATGGGCAAGTTGGTAGTAGCACCAGTCAATCTAAACAGACAAAATCTGCGAATTTTGGACAGCGGAACGGCGGATGGTGGGTGGACAAGCTCCTGTTTCTCGTGAAAGATCAGTCAGGATTGAAGCAGTACTAATTATCAGCTCTCCAGGGAGATGGCTCGTGGATCTTCATGCCTCTCTGCCTTCCAGAGGGAATGTCTATATTGGGACGGATTCCGTTGAGAGAATGTTTCCAGACAGCTTGCCGGAGAGGGTCTCTCTACAGGTTCAGCGAATCGATAGTCCATGGCCCCAGAACTGGTCCAATAGTTTCGATTACGTCCACCAACGCCTGGTTCTACCCGGCTGCGAGTATTGTTCGGCAGCAGTAGCAGTAAAGAACCTCTGCGGTCTCGCGAAGCCAGGCGGGTGGGTAGAACTGATTGAACAGGATCATAATTCCCCAAATCCAGGGGCTTTAGATAAAGCCGAGGGTATGATACGCGAAATCTTCACCGTCAATGGCTTTGGATATGACTACCCGCTTCGCATGAAAGGGTGGCTTGAAGATGCCGGGATGGAAGACGTACGCCAGGAAATATTTGATGTCCCGGTGGGAGCACTCAACCCCAACCCTGAGATGGCTCGGAAGAGCACATGGCAGATCAGTTCTGCACTTAGGGGCTTCTTGCCAATGGCTCGCGGTTAGTAGTTATCGCAATCCCTCCGATCTTTGTTCCTTTCTCTTTTCTTTTTTGCAAAGTTAACTAATCGTCAAGCATTAGCATTACCTCTTTCGATGCCCCGGGATGAGCTTGATAATCTGCCCAAATACACCGAGGATGAAATGCGCTGTGTGGGTGGCGTGCAGAGATTATATGTTGCCTACGGACGGAAACCCCTAGTGGCTTAATAGGGGCAGGGTGTTACTAGTCTGAAGTCCGAGAAAAGTATAAGATATATCAATTCATTGGCCGCTTACTGCAGGGTTCAATGTAACTTGTCTCCTGATACGAAAGGGAAATGATTGCATAGTGCATTAGTAGTTTCGTATATCCCAGTAAGGATTTCAATTCATCGGTCAAAATTTTTATAGAGTACTCCTGTCAATACTGAGAGAGCTTCAGTTAAGGGGTCGCGTATATATACGTATATATACGGGGTCCTTCGCACACGAATTATCTCCCAAGTACACCCTAGTTTCTTCCCATAAGGGTCATTCCTACAAGTTAGCAGTATCATTACAACTAAGCGGCCAGAATGCCAGTAACAACCCCTGAGATGAACGAGTTCGCATCCAACTATCTGGACTACCTCGTTGAACGGAAGCTAGACGAAGTTTCGACAACCTCAATCGACGACTCGAACACCCAATATACCGGCATCCATAGCGGCCTGGGGCCCCCTGACATGTCTCTGGAAGAAGCTGTTGACCATCTCAGGACTGTTCCACCCTCGAAATTCTTTGATCACAACCCTCAGGGGTGGTATGAAGGGGACGTTGCATGGTGGATTCTTTTCCCCTGGAGCAAAATGCCCGTGGGAGGAGAAATTCATCTGAGGGTTACGCTGATTGCGAGGCGTGTGGATGGACAGTGGAAAGCTGTCCATTGGCATGTATCTGAAGCCGTGGATCGGGCTGCTGAGTTTGGAGAGACCCCACGGCAGTAAATGGATATCAGCTACGGCTTAATGGTTTTGGAGCATGTAGGAAAGGATATAAAGATGTTTATAGAACCTGACTCTACAGAAACCATGGTACTGCGAGCTATAATCTGCCTTACACATTCATGAATCCCGCCAGAAAAACCGAACTCTTGAATTTATATAAGTACCATGACCCAGCTCCAACACACAGGGCAGTCAATCCGAAATACATTCCCGTCCTCAAAGTTGACTTGATCGATACCCACAGCTTCTCTTGAAGACCGTTGAAAGTCGCTGAAGTGTTCTGATGGGGGTATGGCTTTGCAGGAACTGGCAGGTCGAGAAACTTGCAAAGGGGCTCATAGCCATCGCCAAAATGAAACTCTAGTAGCTGATCCTTCGGAATAGTGTTTCTCACTCGTTGGTAATGATCAGTATATGCTTGACGAGCCGCTGACCCGTAATCGTTGTTACAAAAGACGTTGAAGCCCGCCGTTAACATATCCAGCATTGGCTTGGTCGTTTGGCGGTCCACGTATCTCCAAACCAGCCAAATCTTCCACTGCATAAAGCCAAAAATGGTATCTTGCATTGATTTCAGCCAGGAGTCGGGGTCGCGATTGGTGAGAATAATTTTGACATTAGGATATGCCTTGTAGAAATCTTCCCAGAAAAGACACGGGGGAAAGTCCATGATAGCATCGTAGCCTGCTAGCAATTTATCGAATTCTTCGCGTCCATATGGCGTGCCCTTCCCATAAAAATTGCAATCTATAGCTTCTTTCCATAGAAGAAACCATCTTGTCGGGTTTGAGGGAAATTCCTGGCCATGGAAAGGAGTAAACCCTAGTTCCTTGAGGGCAAAATACATGGCTGCCAGCATAAAAAATGAAAACAAAAAAGAATTAGAACTGCAAAGTCAATGGTCTCACATCAAGAAATTGCAAAACTAACACGTTGTTCCCGTCCTTCCTAGCCCTGCAATCACTACTTTTAAGGGGGTTTTCCGAGAGTCTGGAATTTCTGGTTCATCGTCGATAAGTCGCGGCATTGCGAGAAAAAAATAGGAGGGAGGGTGGTGAGAGAGCGAGTACAAAGTACACAAAGGGGTTTCTGGGAGGTGAACTGCTTGAATCTGGAGAAACCAGAAGTTCCCAAGCATCATGAGGAATCCATGGGCGACTTTTCTTGAGCACCAAAAAGAAAGCTTCAAGCCATTGGAATAAAGTTCTCGGCCCGTCGTTAGTTTCCGCTGTCAGAGTTTCGTGGCGCACTCCACAATAACTACCTTAAGTTAACTAACTAGTTATGTAGCTGTTCGTATTCAGGAACATGTGGGGTGTATTGTTTGTTAACTGCAAAGCATCAATTGGAGGTTGTGGGGAAACTATTCGTAACAACTTGGCTAACTAGTTATGTATAAGTTATCCGCAACTGTTAATTATTATTAGCTATTCAAAATGTCTACTAGACAGGTAGCAACTCCATTGCACACGGCCACGCATTTCGAAGATCGTATTTGCACGCTATTCTCCAGCCACTCTGAGCAGCAAGAGAATCCCACTCCCACTCTTCTCTTTCCAGTCCGTTCGCCGCCATCATGACCGACATATCCGCCATACGGGACAGATGCCCAGCGCGGCCCTCCTTCAGCAGTATTTCCAATAGAACTAGTCTTGACTTAGGACCCGGGATGATGGCTTTGCGGATATTCTTCAAAATCCTAACAACGTCCTCGTCGTGCCAATCGTGAAGACACCATTTCATACAGTATACTTCGTAACTGGGAATTTCCTTGAAGAAGTCGCCAGCGTGAAGATTCTCCCTACTCACCCGATCCCCAACGTCATGGTACATCCCATTGGCGGTGCAAAAGTTAGTGATCGCCTGGTCGATCACTTCGGCTCGATCGAGTATACCGCCTCGTAAGTTTGGGAATTTACGAAGCAAAAGCGAGATGAGTCCGCCTCCTCCACCACCAATGTCCACAATAAGCTTGTCCGCAACTTCTTCCCAAGGATAGTCTGCGAGTATTCCAGGAGCCTGAGCAACAGCTCCGCCACCCAAGGTCTTGTGAACCCGGTCCAGAGACCCTTGGGCAGCAAACCAAGAGAACATATCCAGATCTGTATCAAAGTTGATTTGGGAAGCCATCCTTTTCTCTCCTTCTCGACAGGACCGTGGGATCCCGCGGGCCATATCGTAAAATTCATTACCGTACAGGTCGACCCAGTTCCTCCAGCCAGTCCAGTGATCCCTGAGCAAGAGAGTTGAACATTCGTTGTTCGTGTACAACCTTGTGCTCGGGTCATAGGAAAAAATACCAGCGCTGTATAACACACGCATAATTTGCTTCAGCCTATCTTCACGGGCGCCGCTAGCCCGCGCAAGCTCTGAGATATTGACTGCTCCTTTTCGCCGTAGAATATCAGGAATATCAAGTTCAACTGCAGCGTTCAGGCATTTGCAGTTCGCAGATCCTATGGCAGGCATTAGTCTCGTGCAGCTAGACCGTAAATAACGGAACAAACTAACCCAAAAAGTGGTCTGCTAAGATGACTGTTCGTGGTTCAAGAAGCTGTTTTGTTTCCTGCAATTGGTTGACCGCTTGTGCGGATAGATCATAGAGGGACCTGTCTGGCAGCTCATTTGGATCGTGTAGGCTTGCCATCAACTCGGCTCGCAGGTCACCTGAAAGGACCTTGAGAGCAGATTGTAAAGAGACATTGAGCTCAGTGAGTGTTTTCTTGATTTCTTCTGTAGCCATTTCGCCGGAAATCGGGTGTTGTCTGGAAGACAGCAGAAGTTTTGGGTAGAATGCTCAGTTGCGAAGGTATCGAGTGGGCTTATGCTGAGATATACTATATTTTGTGATTGTTGCAGCGAACCGGAATCAAATTCTCTTGCTGAACCAGGGTATATTTCAAATTTGACCTCCCCATGACCTGCATGCATAACCCCCTCATGTTTAGGGCGATAACTCTGGGCAATGCCTGGACGGAGATTTTCTTCCTAAACCTCGCGAGAAAGTGAGGCCCTGTCCCTGGTTATGCCGGCCAAGTTTTATATCATTATTTTAAATTTGAATTTATTTAGTAGGCAAACCGAATGTAACTAGTTAGTGGAGAGCTTTTACGTAAAAAACTTGGTCCATGTATAATCGAGGCCATAACTACGGCGCCAATCGGAAATTGATATCTTCTTGGATTGCATTCTGTATATGCAGGTTTGCAGTGTATATTATATATAAATTAGCCCGCCCGGAAGCCAGGCCCGCTTGCATGCAGGGTTGCCCGTGGTGGTCTAAACTATTAGATAATGAAGAAGCTGAAAGGTGCTCCGTTTTTAATTTTGAGGCCTCCATCAATCAGCCAGCCATCTATTTCCTTGGGTGACCGCTACTTTTAGGACCCCCAGCATCAGATAGCTAGCCTACCCCGAGTACAGCTGTAGGGAAGAGGACCCTGTATTGCCCTGTTCTAGCCTTAGTCCACTAATTCAAACCATTTGCATGAGGTATTTGGTTGATGCTTGGGTATCCACATTCTGGACGGAGTATGGAGCACGGAGTACGAATTGGGATCAGGGGACTCGAAGTTGAGCACCAGCTCTGCCACACTTAGATAGCCCCGGACTTGTTTCTAAAGAGTACACAACGATGGATGCGCCATATAGTGTCACCACCTTTCAACACCTCTGACCTGACGCTGCCGGCATCTGTATTTTGAATCTTTGAGATTGCGGCCCTACTTTGCAGAATGATGGACGTTATCATCCTGTCCGAGCTTGCTAAAAGCCTACAAATACCAAAGGACACCATCAATCCTAGCTCGACGTTTTATCAAATTGGCGGTGACTCCATGATAGCCTTAGCGGTTTCCGCATCCTGTAGGCGTCAAGGAGTTTCTGTGGACGTTCCGTCAATCCTTCGGAGTGGAAGTATTTCTGAAATACTCAGAAACGCCAAATTGCTGCCGACTCAGCCCGTCAATACTGTGCCTAAAGGAGATCTTAAGCCTGTAAACAATATATCCGAGGCAGAGCTCGACCGACCTGCCGGTTTCCACCATTCATCTACCAAAGCACGCCAGTACAGTCCTACACCAACAGATTTAAGAAATGCAGTGGGGAGCAGCAGGGGAAATGGCGTTGGGTCTTGCAGTATGGCAAAACTCCAGTCTGTACTTGTGCTGGATACCAAGGCAAGGCCGGGGAACAATGTCATCAGCTATTTTCAAGAGTATTCACCAGGTCAAATCCCAACTCTAAAGCGAGCGTGGCAGAAGGTCATCCAGTCGGAACCTATATTCCGGGCTGTTTTCGACGATGATTTTTTCTTGGAGAATGGCATGGCCTGCTTTGTGTGGTCAGAGAACATACACCGCGATCTATGCTCATTTGAGGAACATGTTGAATCCATAAAGGCACCCGAAATGGTAGAGCCCGCAACAGAATTCGAGATTATAACCCTGGCGGGGAAAAGGAGTATTGTCGTCTGGCACGTCCATCACGCCCTCGTAGATGGATATTCAGCCCGGCTACTTCTCCAAAAAGTCTGCACTTTGATGGAGGGCGGTCAAATAACGGAAGGCAGATCATTCCTGGAACTCAGTCGGGCCTGGCAAATGTATCAGGCCATATTTGAGGGCCAGGCAAGGCAGTTTTGGCAAGATTACTTGTCAAAAGTGACAGATAACGACTTTCTACTTCCACCTCCTTGTAACCAGTCCTCCAATAACTCGCTTTCCGCAAACTTTGTCGCGTTTTCCGTACCCTTACAACGTATCATACGATATTCCAGCGAAATGAATCTTCCACTCTCGTCCATTTATTATGCAGCCTGGTCATTGGTCCTCGCAATTTATACGGGATCTGACACAGTGTCATTTGGTATTGTGTTCGAAAACAGGTCTATCCCTATTCCTGGAATTCGAGAGACCGTAGGGCCGATGATGAACACTCTGCCTCTCATTCTGCACTTGGACCGGGGAACTGCATTCAAGGATTTGCTTCTTTGCACAACCCAGCGTGTCGCTAAGTTGCGAGAGTTCGAGTGGAGTACACCGGATCAGAGCCCCAAGATGACATCAGTTCTGGCCATGCAGTACGACTACGAGGCAGTGTTAAGTCCGACATCTTCCACCATGGTTTCTTCTACCAGGCTTCAGTCAAGCATCCCCATCAATATATTCCTTGGCCCAAAGGAAAAAATCCAAATTAACTATGACAAAGTCTTATTCGATCATTCTGATATCGAGGACCTAGTCCGGATGTATGTCAATGCCATCGAGACATTGATAGGGCCGGAAGGAACCTTAGACTGGTACTTCAGGCATTCCCTTACGCCAGAACTCTTGCAGCAAAGCCTGTTGAACGGGAACTGCTTTTCCGATGCCACCCTCGGTCAAGGGGAGGATACATTGACAAGCCTCTTTGACGCCTGCGTCAAAAGCGCTCCAGATTCCGTAGCAGTTGCGAGAGGAGACGAGTCACTGACCTACGCCCAACTTGACGCAGCAGCCACAAAAATTGCATCGAGTTTGTGCGAGATAGTCCTTCCTCAAGAAGTTATCTGCGTTCACGCTGACCGTTCGATTAACTGGATCATTGCTATATACGCAGTCCTCAAAGCTCAAGCAGTGTACTGTCCCTTAGATCCGGCGTCACCAGATGATCTAAGAGATTCATATTTTCGAACTTCTGGAAGCAGAGTGTATATATCACCCTTTAAAGAATCCAAAGCCCGAAAACCCTCGTCCTGCTCACTCTTCTATTCGATCGAGGAATTGCTATATCAAGCAGATAACACACCTGGACTGGTCACGCGATATGGTAATTCCATAATATCCAAGAAAGACTTGGCATATCTATGCTTCACTTCTGGTTCCTCTGGATTGCCGAAAGGGGTTGTATGTACCCACGAGGGAATAGTTGCATTCCAGAAAGATTATAATGCCCGTCTCCATATGCGGCCTGGGCTACAAGTAGCTCAAGTTATGTCTCCAGCTTTCGATGGTAGTATGCACGAAATATTTTCGTGCCTTTCATATGGCGGAACGCTTCTCCTGAGCCACAAGGCCGACGTTTTGGGTAACATACAGCAAGCAAATGTTGCGATGATTACTCCATCAATTGGGAAAATGTTGAATCCTTGCGATCACAAAAACCTCGAAGCAGTATGTCTCAAGTCTCTAAAAAGAGTCTCAGTCTCTAGCTAATCTTGTTGTGTATTCCAGATTTATCTCGTTGGAGAGCAGCTTCCCCAAGCCGTATGTGACGCATGGTCTGCCACAGTGCCTGCTTATAACATGTATGGCCCAACAGAGTCGAGTTGCGGATCAAGCTACAAGCGCCTTGTTCATGGCGAGATTGTCACCATTGGAAAGCCTGTGGAATCGACTCGGATCTATATTTTAGACCAACATCAGAATCTACTTCCCCCCGGAGTGATTGGAGAACTCTACACTGCTGGGGTGCAAGTCTCTCCAGGATACATCCAACGGCCGGATGAAACCGCAAAAAACTTCCTCAAAGACATCATTCGCCCCGAGACTGGCCAAATGATGTATCGAACTCAGGATCGTGGGTATTGGAACCGATCGGGAGAGATATGTCTTCTTGGTCGTTCTGATAGGCAAATCAAGCTCCGAGGCTTCCGTCTTGATTTGAATGACCTTGAGATTAGGATGGTTGCAAACACTGAAGCCACTTCAGTGGCTATCGCACGCAAGGACGATATACTAGTAGCAATGATACAGCCGGAAACCACAAACATTGCTCTATTCAAGGAGACGATCAAGAAAGTGCTCCCACCACAAGCAATACCAAGGCTCATCAAAGCTGTTGATACGTTTCCCTTGGCCAATGCAGGAAAAATTGATTATAAGGCCGTCGCGGCAGCTTTTTGTGCGTCTATACCCAGAGTATCCTCGCACGGCCGTCCTGTATCTCCCGTGAGCACTCCAGCAGATGCCCGAGAGGCAATCGCTACAGTGTGGAGGACTCTGCTGAAATTGGAGGATGGGCATGTCCTGGACGACAATTCCAATTTCATTGAACTTGGTGGACACTCCATCAAGCAAATTACCTTGTCGAAACGTCTGTCTTCCATCCTTGATCGAGATATTACTCTAGCCGACGTTATAGAGAATATCCGCTTCGGTGACCAGGTCAACAAGTTCTTACCTGCTTACTCCGAGTCTTCGGGTAGCCAATCGCCACTAATAGAGTCAGCAGCGACTACACCGGCTGTTGGTATTAGAGACCAGATCTCATCCATATGGCAGTCTCTGCTTTCGCTAGATAGAGAATACCCTCTAAATGACGATTCCAACTTTATTGAGTTGGGCGGAGACTCTGTCCTTCTGTTAAACTTGGCTTCCCGCTTGACATGCCTCGGAGGAAGGCATATCGCACTCCACAGCGTCATCAAACGCCCTTGTCTAGGCGATCAAATTTCCCTATTCTCAAGCTCGAAGTTAGGTTCCGTCGCCGAAGCGTCCAAGCCCGAAATTGATTCAAAGCCTGGCTGTCTCTCCCTATCTCCCATAGAACGCGAATGGGTAGAAAAATACAAAGTTGGTAAAGGCTCATCCTCTTTCAACGTCAACTATGCGTGTGCTCTCAGTGGTGATACGGATATTATAAAACTGGAAGAAATTTGGAACAAGGTGTTGAAGCGCCATGAGATCTTAAGTTCTCTATTTCCGAATGAGCACACGCGGTCATATGCCAAAGTCCCTCCTCAAGTAGCTGTTGTGGGCAAGATTGATATCAGAGAAGAGGTAAATCGCGAGTTCAAGTTGGATGAGGAGCACCCAATCCGTGTGTTTATTACTCCGACTACCTTTCTCCTGGTGGCTTCACACATCGTACTGGACCTTACAGCGCTCAATGTAATCCTCCGAGATATTGAGATCTGCTGGGGTGGTAAGATTCTCTTGCCCTTGCAAAGAACTTATAGCCAAACGGCTCAGTGGAGCCGTGATGTGTCCCAGGATGACCTCGATTTCTGGAAGAGCCTCTCAGAAGTCCCCTGTTACCGAGAGCCATTGCGATTAAGTTATAATGGAACATCTCGAGTGTGCAAAATACCGTTGGAAACCTTCCAGGGTATGGTTCAGTTCACAGTTAAACACAGCATAACATTACACCAACTTTCCCTAGCGGCGGTCGCGCTTGCACTTTATCCCACAGGCACCCACGATCAACTTGCCGTCCTTGGAGCACCGTATCTCAATCGCGGGGTTGAAGATTTCGACACCGTCGGCCTCTTCCTAGAGCCACTCCCAATCCGCATAAAGGTGCCCCGAATCAATAGGAGAGATTCCATGCAGCAACATATTTCTCCCCGCGAGACTTGGTCGCATGCATTCGCCAAAAGCGTTGGCAAGGCAAGCCAGGACGCCCTTTCTCATGCCATCCCCTGGAACAGACTCCTTGAGTACCTTGACATCCAGCCGCAGCACCCAAATGTCCCTTTCATTGAAGCAATGGTAACATTCCACGATAATCGCGGACAGAAAGCATCCGCGATCCCTGGGACCCAGCAGCTTTACACATGGTGCGAAGGTTCGAAATTCAAGCTGATGTTTGAATTCTCGGCTATCGGTAACGAGACCTTGATGCTAAGGATTGAATATGACAATATGATATATAACGACACTAAGGCGAGGAATTTTCAAAGGCGCACGATCGCTGCTCTCGAGGCAATTAGTCAAGGCTTTGAGCAAGAAAAGCTGGTGGAACTGATACAAACAGCCATGGATAGACAGAGCTCTGAAGGTAGTGGAAATGAATATTTTAGTGTTAGTTTAGTCAATCTATAATACAAACTCGAGTAATTGAATATTATTGTTGGGGCGAAGTAAAGATTATTATATTTTAAATAATAGATTAAAATATTTAAATTTATAGATTTTAAAAAATAGCTATAAATTAGCTAATTAGTTGGAATTTTTACCTCTTATTAATTATTAAAATAATATATATTTAGTATTTTAACTTTATTAATTATATAATAATATAATTTATTTATAAATATATATTTTATTTTATATATAAATAAAATTATAAAATATTAATATATTATTATTTTATATTAAAAAAATACTAAAATTTTAATTTTTTATGATATTTTTATATTATAATTATATTTTTTATTTCATAATAATATATTTTTAATTATTTCTAATAATTTTTATATATAAAATTTTTAATATTTAAT